ATCGAGATTTTTCTGTTTTGTTTTGTTACTGTTGTTTTTTGTGGGGGGATTTTAAAAATATGGAATTCAGGATAGCTAAATCTATAGCAACGATATCTGGATTAATAGCTTCTTAGGGTCATGGCAGGGGAGGTTGGGTGGAAATGAGGAGCTAATAAAATGAGTACAAGGAAGAAGAAAAGATTCTGAAATCAGTTACGAGGCATGATTTCATAACTTTTTGATGTGCTTAAACCATGGAAGTGTATGACACATAGGCTACATGTCCATAGAAATGTTAACATTAAAAAAGGAAGAAAACATATTGTTTGCTAAAGTAAAAAAAAAAGAAGAAGCTCTTAACATTAGTTAGTTTTGGTTTTAATTGTTTCCCCCTGCACTCTTCCAAGCGTGTTTACAGGATTCCTGGAAGAGAGGCCCCCCACCCCCAAGAGCCTCCACCATTTACATATCAACCCACCGGAGTCCTTCCTGCAATCATATGACGAAATGCTTGTGTTCACAAGCCATAAGAGAAATACAAGTTAAAACAACGAGATACTGCCTCACAGAGACACTCCTGGCAAAATTCAACAAAGAAAGAAATAGGGAACAATACATTCAGGAGGGGGCATGGAGAGATTGGCAAGACCATGCAGCGTTGGTGGGACTGTAGACTTGTACAACGGGGGGGAGAGGGGGGCGCAACCCCATGGAAAACAGAATGGTGCTTACTTACTTAAATGAATGCAAATGCAAGTGTAAATGCAGATACAGCTACAAATACAAACATGTGATCCTGAACTCTCTTTATTTGGTGTACTGTATTCTCTAAAGAAATAAAAAAACAAAAACGTCAGCAGATAGATACAAACCATGTTTATCTCCGCAATATCTTCTTCTTTTTCCCCCCAAAAACATTTTATTAGGAGCTGATCAAGTATCATACCATTCCATCAGAAATTTCTGTAATGCCAAAAAGATGGAATGAGTCCAACCCCCCATCTGTGGAGGAATGGATAAACCCACCCGGGGACATCCACACAACGGAATATTACACATCCTTAAAAAATGGTGGCAAACATCCCCATGGGGTTGTCACATACCCCATGACACAGACAAAACTGAAGGATAACATCTCAGCCAAAATAACCTCATAAAGATAAATGTTTGATGACACTGTTATTATAATGGAAAAAAAAGGTCCAGGGGGTGAAGGATTGAGGGAAAGAATGGGGAAGGAAGGAGGAAGGTGGATGAAAAAAGGAAAAAAGTGAAGAAGAAAGAGGAGGGGAAAAAATAAAACAAAAAAAACCCCTCCCCCAAAACAAACAAACAAAAAAGGAGGAGGGGGAGGGAGGAGGAGGAGAAACCACATACATGGAGGTGTCCTGGCATCCTCTCACTGTTTTGATGAGACTGGCTGTGCTACTACATGTAATATGTTTTTCTTTGTGTGTG